ACACACACACACACACATATATATGTATTTATACCATGTATCACATGATGGAGAATGTCCAGACTATCCACCACATACTTGAAGCACTTATTGCCTGAACACAGGGGATAACATAGTGGAAAACTACTGGCTTCTAAATTGTTGACAAGGTTGTGACTGCTCGTGAAGAAATGCAAATGTTAGTAGGAATACACTGATATTTATTTTTGGTTTATTTCTCCCATAAAACTACACACTCTTCTAGACTTGATAATATTTAATAGCAGAAGTAATATTTTAAAACAAGAGTGTAATGGATTTGATGGGTGTCTTGTTTTTTTTTCCCTTCCAGAGCAAGAGTTTACTCTTTGAGAAAATCAATGGTGGTCCAAAAAGAAGAAAGCGGGTAACTATCAGAATATTTCATAGCCCCTGTATAATCTAGAGACCTAATCAAAATTAAAACCATATCGTTGAAGAGATAGTCTAATGCATTTGTATTAAATTTTAGATCATGTGTAAAGTCAGGGACTCTGTGTGATAAACTACTGTAGCCAGCTTCAGGACTGAACTCTGGGTACAAGATTTATTTCTCAGAATAGCCTCTTACTTTCATAAGATATACTTAAGTGTATAACATTATAAAACTTCATATTATCTGTCTTTTAAAATTTATCCTATTCGCTTAAAACCATTTAAATTTCAATATCTTTAAAACAGAATTTGAACTTTCCTATTAAAAATATTAGTAAATTTAATTACCACTATCTATGTGTGTGAATATATTTTTGGGTGTAGACAACACTAGAGGTGTTTCTTTACCTGATCTATCTCAGATGAAACTCCTAGCTCTGTGTCCCACTTGCTTGAAAAACAAAGATGAAAGAGTTCTCATTGTTCTGCTCCTATAACACCCACACAGAGAGATTCTGCACAGTCTACCTCACTACTCACTTACTTGGTAGTGTCAGCCTTTCTTTTGTTAAAAGTAAAAAGAAAAAAGAAAAAATCACTTTCAGGTAGAGTCAACATCTTTAGCTTTGCTGCTGGTGTAGCTTTTTAAAATATGACAGCACAGTTTATATTGTAAATGAAGTAAATATAATGTAAAATAACAAGCATAAATGAAGATGATTTATTTATTAACTCTCAAACTTTAAGACTTTGCTAGAGAAGATGAGTTGATTTCTTCCTGATTCAGACACCATTGGCAGTTGATACTTCAGCCCTAAGTTAATAATCTGACCTGAGCTTAGTATCTGCTCATGCTTTTGATTTTTGAGTATGTTAGTTGAAAAGTAAAAAAGGGCAGGCACCTGACTTTAATTTTTAAATAAGTAGAATTTACTCTGGAAATAGTTCAGAAGAATATTTATTAATAGCTAGAACAGCATGTTAAAGTGGAATTCATGCAACATATACATGAGGGGAAAAAAAGAAATAAAAGAACATTTTCTTTCTATGAGCTGACTGGCATAATTGGATACAAAAGAAATACTAGCTGGAGACACTTGACAGTTATGTGGCTAGGGGTAGCTCAGAATTTTGAAGGTGAATTTCTTTACAGCAAACTTATTTTCCTAGCACAACATGTCACTTAATATTAAATTCATTAAAATTTTAATTATTTTAGTGTAATACTGTAATGATTACTAATGCTTTAATGAACAATTCAGAATTCCCACTTTATCAGCAGAAGAGTAACCTAGAACTGTCAGCAGTGGAGTGTGTTTTTCTAGAAATCAAAAAGTCCACTGGATACCCTTCCTGCCCTTTGCACTCCCTGCCACTCCTCCAGGCCTTTCTGCACAGACACAGCTCTGGGATCTGGCAGTGGGTTGATTTTTTTGCATCTGAATGTCTCCATTTGAGGTTAAAACAAGTCCTGTGCAGCCGTGTACGTAGTAACCCTGTTGTGTCGATCCAGGGCTACAGTGAAAGAGGCGCAGAGGCAGTGCTGGGGTGTAGAGCACCCCATCATCTCAGCCTGTGTGTGCCCCCAGACGTGTGTGTGCCCCTCTAGGCACACCTGCAGGCTGCATGCACACAGTCCTGAGTATTCACCCTTTGCTGCTGCACTCTGCACTCGCAGAGCAAGGCAAGGAGGCTTACAGTGACATCTAATTTTAATTAGCAGCTCTCCCCATTTTTAAAATTCTGGGCTTGCAGACAGCCCTGTCCCTGTCAGGACCACTTCTGTGACCACTAAGCTGCCGTGGGCTCAGAGTGTGTACAGAGGTGCTCAGGAACTTGTGTTACTTTGAATTCTGCAACAGCTGCATAGGATGAAACATACTTAAGTCAAATCAGCCAAAGTATTTTACATTATATTTTGTGTTTTCTTTTGTTGATTAAGAAGGATTCAAAATTTTATGTAGTCTCATTCTCTTCTACTTTATTTCAAAAAGAAGCAAGCAAGTACCATTCCAAAAAAAAAGACCAATTAATCTTCCTAGGAATCTTCAAATAATTCCTAGAAGTTTATGCAACAGTTGAATTTCACTAAATTAACATTAAACAGAACTTATTTAAACAAACACAAACAAATCATTTACATATGTCTTATTTCTAACAATTTAAAGCACTGGAGTTAGTTTATTTTCAAAGATTTTTCTACATTCATTTCTGGTTCTTAATATTTTTATGTTTTCACTTGCAGCAGGCAAAACACCCAAAACCCAACAGAAGTAAGCAAAAGGGCTGTTCTGTGCTATGACTAAGTATTAATGATAGCATCCACAAATTTGGAGAAACCCAAGGGCTTAAACTTGAAGACAGATAAACCCTAAATATTTTCCAGAGATCCAACAAATACTTGGGATAGCTGAAAATAAATATTACATGCCCATTCTGAATGCCTTTTTTTTTCCATTTTTTTTTTCTTTTTTTCTTTTTTAATTCTTAAGTTTTGGTGAAAGAAGCACAGAAATATCTCAAGAAAAGTAATTTCTGTGACACAGTCAGCCTGACAAGAATCAGGAGATACTGGAAAATTCGCATTCCCCTAAAGCTTGTCCTTAGGCAGTTTTTATTCACATCAAATCCTTCATGCTAGAATTTTTGACTGTATCTGTGTGAAGGAGACAATATACGCTTGAAATTTGCTTACTCTCACACTGTAACAAGCCAGAAATTAGGTGTAAATGATTTAATACTGAAGCTCCACTGAACTGCCTGCCACTTGCAAATACAGTAAATACATTTTATTCCACTGGTATAGATAAAATTCAAGCATAGGCTTTCTACATTACTCCATCTACGATCTCCAAGCAGTTTTGAGATCTGTTCATCTTCAGCCTCACGTTGTGCTGCTTGCATAGTGCAAAGTGAAGTTAAACCCTCTCCAGGAATCTCCTTTCCAGCATTCCCTTATTCTGGCAGTGCTATGAGAGCCATTTTCTATGCCAAAACCTTGTTTGGCTCTGCTTCTTTGCCAGCAGTTTTTTATCTCAGCATCAAGAGAGGAAGCAAGGAGGGGTTTCCTGGAGAGGAGACAGGCTGAACAAGAGACTTTGGTCAAAATGGTATTGTGGTCTCTAATTTATATCCCAGCACAATGTCCATCGGGGTAGTGGTTTAAGCTAAAGCTTACCTGTACTTCTCTAACAAGTATAGGTTCTGTCCTGCCTTAAGAATAAGGGAGATAGAATTGCTGCTGCTTCTTGCTGAGCTGAGGAAAGGAGGAGTGGAGCAAAAAGGCAGTGTTTAATTCAGATCATTCTATATTCCTGATAGTCCTCCTTCACTTGTATTTCTTTCAGTGGAGCGAATTATATTCTTGTGCAAAAAAAAAAATAAATTAGAAACAAACCACTGATTGACTTCTAGATTTAATCCCTGAAGGCATTTTTTTTCCAAGTCTGTAAATATCTGACAGATAATAAATACATAAATATGTTCACTAATCCTAGTTACCTTTTATCTATTTCCCTATTTCTAATACATCTAAATAATTTTATACTTTTTCAGAATGTGAACCCATATCTGCAAGGACAGCGACTGGATAATGTTGTAGCAAAGAAGTCTGTTCCACAATTTTCAGATGAAGACAAAGATCCTAAATAAGTAGAATAAAAATGAAAGACAAAAACTCATGCCATCCTCTTCTAGATCATGATATTGCTTATATATAATCATCTATTAAAATCCTTGTGAATGGCAGCATGCATATTATTTATATAATTGTAGATGAAAAACAGCTGTATTTATAACAGCATGTTCTCCTAGATGATAAAAGTATGGTTTTGCTTTTTGTTAAGTTATGGTAAAAGGATATTTCTGTTGTTTTTATTTTAGTCATGGAGCAAACTTTAAAAATGTTAGTCATTTTGATAGCTAATGTGAGGTAAATGGTCTTAATGAGAAGCTTGTAAATAGGAAGATGAAAAAAATGCCAAGTCTGACTCCAACATTTAATCTTAAATGTTACTGTGTTTGACACATGAAAATTATAGTTTTATGTTTTGTTCACAAATATTGTTACTTAGCAAAGACAAAGTATTTATTTTACGCAGAGAATTTTGGCTTTTGGTCCATTTCAATAAACATTTAAGCAATCTACAAGGTTTGCAAAGTGACATTTTCCAAAATAGTTCAGAGACTCATTTGTCTCTGTTATTGCTGTGCAAATTTAAAAATTAAAGAACTGCTTTTTGACTGTGTTCACTGGAATATTTTTCTGTTAGTTTTAATCATTCCAGGCTCACAGTTTCCCTGAACACTCGAACATATTCCTTCCTTATCAATAGAACTGTTATGTGAAAATTAATCTCCCCTGCTGTTCTTTGTCTTATTAACTGCAGCATTTGTGCATAATAGTGTTGTTAAATTATAAGTAAAGATGGAGACATTTGTCTGTGTTAATAAGGTTGTGTCAACAACCTCTGAATCTAAATCCAGGATTTGAAGGTTATTACAGTTGATCTTCTGAAAAAATATGCTACTCTAATAACACTGGTAGATATCATTGAAGTTGTTCTGGGAAGCTTAAATTTAAATTGCCTTCTTGCCCCTAGGAGGTTGAAGAACTTTATATTCCAGGGTTCTCCCTTTATGAAAGATGAGAATACACCTGAATATTTCAAGCCATGTGAATGGAGCACTGGAATTACGGAAAACAGCATTAGCTTACAGCTAATATTACCAATCTGTGGGGAAAAAAAAGTAATTTCCCATTCTATAGAAAGTCAGTAAAATAATGATGACCTCTTAGAAAAAAAACCACAAAAAGAGATAAGACATTAAGGTTCCAAGCTACATAAAGTTTACAGGCTGGCACAAATATGACCATTAATGGCATTTGCTTTTTTTGTCCTACCACTTAGTAATTTGTAATAAATTATGTGTGTAGAGAATTGGCCCTCGCATGCCATTTATGGGTAGATTGCAAAATTCTAACATTTTGGAGCAGACTATCATGGCTTTCATCGTATTTCCTTTTTAAAAAAAAATCTTGAAGAGAAAACTGAATAGCATGTCATGAAGTGGGGTTTATACTCACACATGACACAAAAATGAGGAATTTCTATGAATCACAAAGCTCCCTTGGCTTCCAGTAGCTGGAACAGGATGGGAGCAATCTAGCTGTTCATGTGATAGATATTCTCTGCATCTTAAGCTTACTCTTTTTATCTGCACACCTGCTTAGTCTTCATACAGGGACTGCAAAGCTACAAAGATTGCTCCAAAACCAACAGAGAGTCTATAAATATATACATCATGGCATAAATCTGACATTAAAACCTACTGATGCCCAGTGTGTGAAATGGTCATTCCTTCCAACCCTGCTGCCAGCCACTGGTGTAGCTACAAGGCTTCCAGGTAGTTGGAGGCTAGACTGCCATTCCAAAGAAATTGGTCTTCAGATCCTTGACTGTTCCATCAATACTTCTAAAGTAATCTGAGTTACATTCTGTCCTTATAGCTTCAGTAAAATCCATTTGAATCACAAAAATGAAACAACCGTGATGGCAATTTATTGCATTTTTTTAAGCTCTTATTAAGGACAAGTGCATAATAAAAGGAAGTATGTACAGTAAATAGGAGGGCTAAAAAAGGGAAAGGCAAAGAGGCATTGCTTGCTTAATAGTGTCAGTAATCCCACGTGTAATTTTGTGAAGTACTCCAGGTCACTCCAAGCCTGTGTGGGGATGTGAAATCCAGCACTGCACGGTGGCCAGAGCAGGGATACCCAGCAGGCTGCCTGCAGACTGCATGTGGCCACAGGAGCTGCCCTCCTGAGTATGATAGATCTGCACAGGAAAAATATCACAGTTCAGACCTGGTTTTGTCTTTAAATGCAAGCAAAGAAAAAAAAAAAATCTTTACACTGCACAAAACAGTGATGTGTCTTACAGGAACTGTCTGCTGGAACAAGTCAAGTGTGTGGTGGTGAGCAGCTGTCTGCTGAGTTCATCAGGCAGCTTGAGTGTTTCACCAGGAAGACTCAGCAGTACTATTGTGAAATTTTAATAAAGTGTAGCTATTGCACCATGATAATGAGATTCATTATTCTAATTTCGGTTTCATGGTAGAGCTGTCTTTCAGTACTGGGATTGGCTAGCTCCATATTGATTTAAAAGAAAAAAAAAAAAGAAAAACAAGCAAAAATCCTTGTCCCTCCTACTGTTCTAATAACAGTCCAAATATGTATATGTAGTTTTTTAAACAGAATAATAACAGTGTCTTTCAGAATCAATGAACAAAGATACTAACTATCCCTGCTCACTCAGAGTTCACCAAACCCATATTTCCAAGAATGTAAATAGCTGCACAGGTGTAATTGCCCTTTTACCTTTATGATGCATGTGAATTAAGGAGCATGTATATTGATACTGTTGTTTAGAATTTTTATAAAATTAAAACCTTTTAGAGTATTTTAAAATTTGCAAGTGTGTTAATTACTGCTAACACATTAGAGACACAATGTGCTTGAAGGAAGCTATGCAAAATAAAGTGTATTGCCCTCAAACATGGGTTTTGTCTGGTAATGAAATATTTATGACTCTAATTTTTAAAAAGCACTGTGTAACTTTTGAGAGTATTTGATTTGTGACACACAACTTACTCTGGGGGTGCATGTGCATACACATATTAATACATGTTTTTAAACAGAATACAGTCTGATAATAAAGAATATAAAGATGTTAACCCACAGAAGAAAGTGATAGAAAAATTCTTACTGAATTGCTAAGGAGGGGAAATAATGATATGCTTCTCATTACTGGCACATCTGCATTCACCAAATGCAATAAAACCATGCTGCTGTCTGTGCAGCAACCCAGGAGCAATCCAAAGAAGCTGGGTACCAGTTCTCTGATGTCAGAGTCCCGAGAGTCACTTACAGGATTGCAAGAAAAGCTGACCTGAAGCTTATTTTATCAAAATATGATGAAGCCTATCTTATCTGTTAAACTGAGGAAGGGCACAGGCAGAAAAATGACTATCAAGTCAATTAGGTTTTTGGCTTTGTTGTTAACACTCAAGCCCCTTTGTTTCCAAATATCAGTAGCTGGGGAAGAAGACAAGTAGCTTTTTCATGATGAAGAGGAGACTTGCTTTCAAATCAGGCCTCTAAACAGTAGCTCTATGGAAGTGCGGAAAAGGCTTTGTTTTCATTTTCATGGTGGACAAAAAACCTAATTTTTGAACATTTAAATTCTTTTGGAAAAAGCCCATAACAACATCAACCCAAAACAAACTTGGAATCTTCTGGCCTGTTTGCTGGTAATCTCACTAAACCAGTTCTCACCTCATCTGTAATGCTCCATCACTTGTAATGTGATATAATTTTTATGCAATTTCTTCCTTTTTGACACAAATAGACAATGTCTGCATCTATAGGACAAAGACCTTAAAGACAACTTTTCAGTTTTTTGAAGTCACACACTCAGATTTATGGAAGAACAAGGGCAAGTTAGGGAGGTTCAGAGGATGCTACCACAATTCCCAAAAAATTTAAGATGTCCAAGGAAAGGGCAGTTCCACATGATCTGCAAAGGAGATGATTATCTATTTTATTAGCCAAGTATCACTACCTGTAGGATTTAAGGTACCTGTCCATCCAAGCCAGAAGCTATCAAGGGTATCAGGGAGAGGACATTATCTCCAATTTTGAGACACCTGAATCCAACCTGATTTCAGGCTAATGGAATTGACAATTAGATTGAATTATATTTCTGCCATGCTTGATACAAATATGATGGCAATGTGATATGCCTTAAAGAAAAGACAGCAACAACAAAAACTCAACGTTGACTCAACTGCCATATGGATACATATACATACACTTAAAAATTCAGTTTTGTTTGAAGACAGGCAATTACCTTCAATACTCTTTAAAAAGAATCATGTTCAGAAATTATCTCAAAGAAGAAGTGTACTTTTAAAATAAAGAATTGCTGTGTCCCTTAAAAGATCTGCCAGTTTGTCATGCCTAGGGTCAACAACAGATTCTAACCATGAGCAAAGAACAAGTTCCCTCGAAGGGTTCAGCCACTGACAGTGACCTGCTTACATGCAAACGAAATAAAAACTAAAAACAACTGTAAGCAAAGGATGTGAAACCACCATCATGAAGGTCCCTATCACTCATGAATGTGGCTGACTACCACATTTGTGATAGCAGGGAATCCCTGATAGGATTGGGAACTAAGCCAAGATTTTCAAATACAAGAGAATGAAAAGGTCAAATGAACCATTTTCCAAGTCCACTTGTGATCTAGGTCTGCCATGCTCAAGCCTTTTGCTTTTAGGTGAAGAATGGCATTGAGCTCCAGTTCATCATCCAAGTTTACCAGGAGAAGGAAATATGTAGTTTCAGTTGTCATGTTTGCATTATTTATGATGATGACTGCTTTGCTGTGCTTACATGAGTCCTGATGGTTGGGAGAGCTGCTAACCATGTGTTAAACACATGGGAGCGTAACAAACATTAAATACGAGTGTCATGGCAGTAGCATTATCAACTGGAACTGAAAGAGCTTTAAAAAATTCTATTTTATTAATGAGGTCTGTATTTGTATGTGGGGCAGAGGTAGAGATGGCAGGAATTGAGAATGGTTTCAGATTTTAAGATTAGGTAGACATGAATCATCTCTTTTGAATTTTCTTCTGTAGTTCCTGTTACCAAAACACATGGAATGCAGCTCCTAATGCAATACATGGTTGTCCTTTACATCTAATCCTGTGTTTCTTCATCCTACTCTCCAAGAAAAACTGTGGTGGGAGTCAGTGGCTGAATTTAATGGTAAACTGAGTGAGGCAAAGGAAGAGGTGCAGAAAAGAAATAATGTCCTACTTGTTACTAGTCTCAAACTTTCCCTATTTCCCTAACCACTATCATTCAGCTACAGATCATTAGATGTATAAACTCTGACTCCTGTTACTCCAGATCTTTGTTCTGAACCTAACCACTGTATGACAATGTTACTCTCCTGAGAACCACTAAAGATCTCCATTATAGATGACAGGGATTTTTGGGTGTGGACATATTTGCTAGGTCACAGAAGGTGCATATGGCTTTGATGCTGAATTCAGATATCTTTTAACTAATTCTTTATTCTGAGAAACAACAACAACAAAAACCCCAAAACCCAAACCTTAGCAGTTCTTTCAGTGCAGTATCTATGTTCTAATGCCCCAAAGTTCTCAAAAAGTAGCTGAAATTCAAGTGGGATAGCATGTATGGGGGAAATACAGTTCTGATTCCTCAACTCAATAGAGAACACCTTTCTACACTGGAAATACAAGATACCACACAGTGACATTTTATATTTCTAAATGGATGAAACAGACTCATGAAAGAGCAGGTTAGGCCATCCAGAGAAGCACTCATAATT